CTCAGCTCTTCAGCTCAAGGCGAGCGCTCTACCACTTGAGCTACAGCGCCACTTCCGGTTTTCTGGTGGTTTATTGGAGATAGGAGTCTCAGTCTTTCCTGCCCGGGCTGGCTTTGAACCGCGATCCTCAGATCTCATAAGTAGCTAGGATTACAGGCGTGAGCCACCAGTGCCCGGCTCTGGCTTTTTTCTTAAGTGGTGCTAAGGAATTGAACCCAGGGCCTCAGGCATGCAAGGCAAGTGCTCTACCACTGAGCCACCTTCCCAGCCCCAACTTGACTGAATTTTAAGGTGGAATAAAGACAAATACAGTTAATGTATACCCAGAAGGCAGAAAGAAATGGAATTATCTTTTTACCCTTTAGTGGTCAGTTTATCTGCAATAATGTATAGAAATTTGATGTTACTAAAAACCAGCACCTGGAATAAACCAAGAATAAAATAGTGGACTGACCAAAAACTCTTACCTTTCATTCCAGCTCTCTTGGTATCATCAATGGTTAGAAGTATTTCCACTGCGTTTTGAGCATTTTCAGATAACTTTTCTTCATCTTCTGGCCAAGGGATATCTATTAATACAAACATAACCTGTTCAACTACATAGGGATAAATCAATGTCCTGGGAATCACACCTAGGACCTTTGGCCATCCTAGGCAAGTAGTCTACCGTGGTCTACCACTGAGCTACAGACACAGGGCCTTAATTGTTTGTTATGGTAGGACTGAGGTTTGAGCTTAAGGCCTTATGCTTCTAGGCAGGTGCTCTATCACCTGAGCAACACCCTAGTCCATTTTGCTTTAGTTATTTTTTTGGATGTGGTCTCCTGTTTTTGCCTAGGCTGGGCTCAGACCATGATTCTACTTAGGCTTCCCATGCTGGAATTATGGGCACATGCCATTGTACAGACTTGTGCCAGTCCTTGGGCCCAAACTCAGGACCCGGGTACCACTGTTCCTGAGCTTTTGTGCTCAAGACTAGTGCTCTACCACTTGAGCCACAGTTATACTTTTGGCTTTTTTGGTGGTTAACTGGAGATAAGAATCTCATGGACTTTTCTGCCCCGTTAGTTTTGAAGTCCAATCTTAAGATCTTAGTCTCCTGAGCGCTAGGACTGATTACAGGCATGAGCCATTCACTGGCTCTGGGCTTGAATCTATTTTAATATTCGAAAAGGAATCACCTCTTTTCAGAATGTTCTGGAATACTTGTTGTGCTGTTTCATCATTGAACGGGGGAATTCCTGTTAGAAATTCAAACAAGCATACTCCAAGTGCCCACCAGTCCACTGCAGGACCTGGAATTCAAGAGTAAAACTTTAAGCTGAATTTGCAAACATTTTGTACAAATAAATGATCAAGTGCAACATTACCACATAGATATTTCCACACAAGACCTCCAATGCCTAAGACTTTCTTCTGTCCTCATAAAGATAAAAAATTTCAAGTTATCTTCATTTGGGCAATTAAAAGTATTAATTACTTTCCTGTATCTTTCAAGAAATTATTCAAGTTATTTATTATTGTTGTTTGTTCTTCCTGGGACTTGAACTCAGAGCCTCCTGCTCTTGTTCAGCTTTTTTGGTAAATGCTAGCATTTTACCATTTGTGTCATACTGCCTCCAGTTCTGGCTTTTTGCTGGTAATTTAGAGATGAGAGTCTCATGGATTTGTTTCCCTGGACTAGCTTTAAACTAAGATCCTTATATCTCAGTCTCCTGAGTAGCTATGGTTACAAATATTGAGACATCAGTAGCTGGCTACCACAGCTATTTACGAGAACAGTGCCTCACACCTGCCATCCTAGCCACTCAGGAGACTGAGATCTGAGGATCATGGTTCAAAGCCAGCCCAGACAGGAAAATCTGTGAGACTCTTATCTCCAATAGACCACTAGACAACCGGAAGTGGTGCTGTGGCTTAAGCGGTCTACCACTCGCCTTGAGCTGAAGAGTGCAAGGACAGCGCCCAGGCCCAGAGTTCAAGCCCCATGACTGACAAAAAAAAAAAAAAAAGAGAGAGAGAACATTATAGTCATCCTTCTCAATGATTAATTATTTCTGATCAGTGTATTTTATAGTGGCTTTGCACTTAAAAACATACAAGGATAAATTATCAAAAAGATTCACCACTCAAACCACAGCTTTCTGATGGTTTATTGGAGGTAAGAGTCTCATGGACTTTCCTGCTTGGGCTGGCTTTGAACTGCAACCCTAAGATCTCAGCCTCCTGAGTAGCTGGGTTACAGGCGTGAGCTACTGGCGCCCGGCTATAGGTGTGTATTATTATGTCCAGCTTTAACTATTATTTTATTTTTTGCCAGTCCTGGGCTTGAACTCAGGACTTAGGCATTGTCCCTGAGCTTCTTTTGCTTAAGGCTCGCACTCTACCACTTGAGCCACAGCACCACTTCCAGCCTTTTCTGTGTATGTGGTACTGAGGAATCAAACCCAGGGCTTCATGCATACTAGCTAGGCAAGCACTCTACCACTAAGCCACATCCCCAGCCCTTTCACCATCATTTTAAACACTGCCTTGATGGTTTATATTTAGAAATAAGTATTTCCTAGGCCAACGTTAATTTTACCTTGAAAGATAGTTAACTTCAATAAAATTCTAGACTAAAGCCAAAAGCCAGTGGCTCACACCTGTAATCCTAGCTACTCAGGAGGCTGAGCTCTGAGGATCACAGTTCAAAGTCAGTGAGACTTTTTTTTTTAAATAGCAACTTTGTCATTTGTTCTTTTATTTATTTTTTGTTGGTTGTGGGGGTAAACTCTGGGCCTGGGCACTGTCCCTCAGCTCTTTAGCTCAAGCCTAGCACTCCACAGTGCCACTTCCAGCTTTTTCTGCTTATGTGATGCTGAGGAATCAAACCCAGGGCCTCATGCATGCAAGGCAAGAACTCTACCACCAAGCCACCTTCCCAGCCCCGTCAGTGACTCTTATCCCCAATAAACCACTGAGAAAACCAGAAGTGGTGCTGTGGCTCAAGTGGTAGAGCACTATCCTTGAGCTGAAGAGCTGAGAGACAGTGCCCAGGTCCAGAGTTCAAACTGCACAACTGACATATCAATAAAACAGACTAAAAATACTAGTATAGTACTAGATTTGCCTATAAATTATATTTTAAAGACAAGTTCACAAAATTCATTATTGTGGTTAATCAACAGCCACCATCCATCTTATTTAAAAAAATTTTTATTGTCAAGATGATGTACAGAGGGGTTACAGTTACATAAGTAAGGTAGTGATTACATTTCTTGTCTAACTTGTTACCCCGTCCCTCATTTTTCTCCCTCTCCCCCACCCTCCACCCGTACCATACATTTTAAAAGAAGTAGAAAAGCATTATGGAATCTGCCAATAGGAAAAACAATTGCATGCATTTGGAGTGCCTTTTCACCAGCAAGCCATGTAGCCCATGCTTCCTTTATGGACCACAAGGTGCTAATATTCTGTAGGTGTCAGTTACTATAGTAACCACTAAAAACGCATAGACCACCATAGTTAGTAGCCTTTTGAGCAGCACAGGAAAGAATTATTCCAGTGGATTAATCAAGTAACAGGAAAGTACAGGAAAAAATATATTTATATTTTACTTAGGTTAGAAATTAAAGCCCTTTTTCCAGCTTAGCCAAAATGTACTGATGTTAAAAACATACCTGATTTCTCCAGATATGTCCACACATCCCCATAAATATAAGTCAAAGTCTAATAAGATCACATATTGTGATTAAATCAAAGCAATTATGACATGTTAGCCAGGGAAAAAGAAAAATCTCATGCTGGCTTTCTAACTTATAACCTATTCTTGTAATCTGTAGGGCTATATTGATACTGTTATTTCTATGCTCTAATAAAAATAAAATTTAAAGATTGAGAAAATTAAACCTTTTTGCAGCTGCTAATATTACTTTTTAAAATCAAGACTATTTCTGCTGTTGTCATTCTATGATATCTTTAAGTTATATAAAAAATGACATATGCCAAATTTGTCTATTTTCTGAGAACCATGACTCTACATGTCCCCTGTTAATAATATAGAAAAGACATTTGGATTCACAAATGAGATGAAAGAGAAAAAACTATGCAATGTGATCTAGTTATACTTTGACTACTGATTTTAATGTGCTTTTGTTTGCCATTATGACTTTATAGAGAATCTTACTTACCTGAAGTCAAAAATCCTGCATGTAAGAAAACAGTAGTTAGGTACAATGTATTAAAATTATAAGTTCAAGACTTACACGAACAAGGCCCTGGGTTTGATTGCCAATACCACTCTCTATCTATCTAAATAGAGAATATTAAATGTGTCTATTTCTATTATTGTAAGAGATTACTAACAACAGTTATGGAATGCTTCCAAGGAATTTTTCTCTGCTAGGTAAAAGGCAGAAAATAAACTACTTTAACGAAATCTTCTCAAGTTTTTATAGTGGAGACGAATTTAACAATTAATTTCAACAAACCAGAATGACCTAAGTTTCCTTTTGTGGTGGTAGGGATTCAAGTGCAGGGCCTCCCACATGCTGAGCATGCGTTCTAGCAATGAGCTACATCCTTAGCTCCAGAATAACATAGCTTTACTTGATTTATAGTAAGGTGTTGTAGAAGTAAATATCTCTTAGTAGTTGAAGGGTTGCTGTATCAAAGATGTGACACTTGAAGTAATAAGGAGAAAAAATTTGACTGGAAGTTGAGAGACTGGTTTTCCACAACTAAATAAAAACACGTATGTAAAATAAGACTTGATAATTAAATATGTATTAAAAACTAGAATGAGAATATGAAGCAAATAGAGGTTCCTTAACACACAAGGGTAAATGTAAGGAGCAGCTAAGTGGAAGTCACCATGATATTTTTGTTTGTTTTTGCCAGTCCTGGGGCTTGAACTCAGGGCCTAGGTATTGTCCTTGAGGTTTTTTGATCAAGGCTACCACTCTTCCACTTGAGCTAAAGCTCCACTTCCAGTTTTTTTGCTGGTTAATTTGAGAAAAGAGTCTCATGAACTTTCCAGCCCAGGCTGGCTTCAAACTGTAATCCTCAGATCTCTGCCACCTGAGTAGCTAAGGAATACACATGTAAGCCACTGGCTCTTGGAGACAGTGTTTCACTCTGTAGCACATGCTAGCTTGGAATTTGTTATATTGCTCAGGCTGCCATCATGATTCCCCTGCCTCAGACTGCCTGGTGCTGGGGTTTCAAGCCTGCATCACCATGCTTGCTTACAGTAAGTCTAGTTTTTACATGTAATAATAAGTATAATACAGAGTATTATATAATAAGTATAATATAGAGTAGGCCACTTGGCCATATGTCTGCTGCATACAGAAAGACAGGACAGGGCTGGGAAGGTGGCTCAGTGGTAGAGCACTTGCCTTGCATGCCTGAGGCCCTGGGTTCGATTCCTCAGCACCACATAAGCAAAAAGAAAAAAGCCGGAAGTGGCGCTGTGGCTCAAGTGGTAGAGCACTAGCCTTGAGCTGAAGAGCTGAGGGACAGTGCCCAGGCCCAGAGTTCAGGCCCCACGATAGGACCAAAAAAAAAAAAAAGAGAAAGTCAGGACAAATAGGGATTTAGGAATATCCCTATAGACAACTGAAATAATGGATATGATGAGATTAATATAGATTAAGTGTAGGCTACAGGGTAGAGGGAAGAATCTTGAAAGCCATCTATTCAGTCATTTGTATTCATTGATTTCTACATCTACAGATTCAACTGACCATGGATAGAAAATATTTAAGGAGAAAAAAAACTGCCTGTATAGAACTTGTACAGAATATTTTTTCTTGTTAACATTCCTTAAATTATATGGCAAAACAAATAGCATATACATTGTAGTAGATGTTATAAGGACTATAGAAATGTACGACTACATATATAGGTTATATGCATACAGTGAGCCATTTTGATTAGGGTCTTAAGCAACCTTGGATTTTGGAGGGTCATAGAACCAATCTTTCAAAGAGATGGTTGTATTTGAAAGAAATGAGGAAGGAACAATAAAATAACCATCAAGTAAGAGGAATGAGACTCAAAAGAGACTGTTAAATTTGGCAATAAGGACTCTGGAAATAATTATAGTTGGCCATGGTGGCACATATCTATAATCCTAGCACCTGAGGGGCTGAGGCAGAATGATGAAGAGATCAAGGCCAGCTTACAATATGTATGGAACTCCAGGCCAACTAGGACTACATCTGGAAACCTTGTCAACAATAAAAAAGGAGCCCACAGAAAAGTAGAAGATGTAGAAAAAAAATGGGTGGACTGGGATATAGCTCACAGGTACAGCCTTTGCCTAAGGGCTAGGCAAGATGCTCAGTCAGTCTGCTTCCCAATACCACAGAAAAGAATGTTGAAGAACACATGGACATTAGGTTGAATTGTATCCCTCCAAAACAGTATGCTCCCCCAGTACTTCAGAATGTGGCTTCATTGGAAATAGTCATTCATTGCAGATTACAATTAATTAGGTTAAGATGAGGTTAAACTGGACTGGCATGGGCCAATAATGCAATATGAGTGGCTTCTTTGATGTTTCTGCAAGAAGCCACCAACACTAAGATAGATACACAGGGAGAATATCAACATATGAAGAGGTAAAACTGGAATGATGCATCTGCAAGTCAAGGAAAACCAATGGTCAGCAATTCGTCAGAAGCTAGAAGAGCAAAGAAGGATTCTCCTATAGTTTTCAGATTGAGGATGGCCTCATTAATACTTGATTCTGGACTTTTAGCGCCACAATTGTGAGGCAATACCAAATAGAGGGGGTGCAAGGTAGGGGTTATCTTGATCACTCAGACTGAACCAAAGAAGGTAAGACCATTGAAGGAAAAGGACAAATGGCGGCATGTGTTTTAGTGGTTAGTCTTTTTAGAAAATTATTATTGATTAACTGTTATTATAGAAATGATAACAGAGGGATTACAATTACATGAGTCAGGTAATGAGTACATTTCCTTTTGTACAGTGTCTTCTGCTCCTTTATTCTTTCCCAGAGTGTTTAGTCTTTTACATTCACAGAGTAAAAGTCATTCCCAAATGCCATTTATATGACAAAGAATATTTCATAAGTTCTTTTCCTTTTGCACTAGGTTATTTAAGTATTAAAGAAATTTTAGCTGGGCACTGGTGGTTCATGCCTGTAATCCTAGCAACTGACGAAGCTGAGACTTGAGGATCCTGGTTCAATGGCAGCCCAGGCAGGCAAGTCCATGACATGAGACTCTTATCTCCAATTAACCACCAGAAAACTGGAAGTGGAGCCAAGGCTCAAAATGGCAGAGTGTTAGCCTTGAGCACAAAAGCTTGGGGACAGTGCCCAGGCCCTGAGTGCAAGCCCCATGACCGACCCAAAGCCTTTTTTTTAAAAAACAATTTTACTTTAAAAGATGATGTACAGTTGGATAACCAAAAACCCAAAAGCATGCTTACCATGAGCTGTGCCCAATAAGAGCTCAGGTGCCAGGTAGTCTGGGGTTCCTAGAATCCTCCCATCATCCACTGGGGCTGCCCCTCTTCTGACACTCTTTGGAGTACGGTATGAAGTTCCTGACTTGACATTACTTGGGGTCTGCTAAGTCAAAAAGAATTTAAGAGACAACCAATATCTTATTATTTTCACAGTGGATAGACATAGTGAAATGACAACCAAAACCTAGAACGTAGGCTACTAGGCATGACTTCCTTGATCAGGGATTTGAAAATAAACTCATATTAGTTACAAGTTATGAAAAAGCTCTTATATGTAAAGTTTTAATATAATTATTGCCAAACACCACCCTGGGGCCCAGGGCAGGGTAAAGACAGGCTCTGAGCTTAAGGAACTCCTAAGTACCTTATTAAATTCTGAATAGGAAACCCAAGCCTCACAATTTAAAATTAGTTTATGCCTTTTCTAATTTCCCTCCAATGGAAGAAAAAAAAGTGAATTTTTGGTCTGTGAAAGTAAAGTTTAGAGTCCGGAAATGGTGGCTCACGCCTGTAATCCTAGCTACTCAGGAGGCTGAAATCTGAGGATCGCGATTCAAAGCCAGCCCGGGCAGGAAAGTCCTTGAGACTCTGATCTCCAATAAACCACTAGAAAACTGGAAGTGGCACCTTAGCTCAAGTGGTAGTGCGCTCGCCTTGAGCTGAAAAGCACAGGGACAGCACCCAGGCCAAGTTCAAGCCCCATGACCGACAAAAAAAAAAAAAAAAGAAAGTAAAGTTTAGGCTGCATGTCTGTAATCTCAGCTACTCAGGAAATAAAGAGGGGGACAATGGTTTGAGAATAGTCTGAACATTTCTTAGCAAGACCCTATCACAAAAAAAACCCCAAAAAGCTAATTGTTGGTATACACCTATAGTCCCAGCTACATGGGAAATGGAGTTAGGATAATCGAGGTCTAAGGGCATTCTGGGCAAAAATATTAGAGCCTACATGGAAAACAAAAACTAAAGCTAAAAGGGCTGAGATGTAGCTCAAGTGGTAGAGCACTTCTTAGCAAGTGTGAAAATCTGAATTCAAACCTAGTAATGCCACAAAAGGGGAAAGTCTTAAAAATAAAATACACATATTTTAGTATGTAGTATTTGAAATAACAATTCCAACTATTTAGAGAAAAGATTATTTAAATATATCATTGGAAGACAGAGTAGACTTTCAGTTCATACCTCAGTACTGCTGCAATCAAGTGAAAATATGTGATTGTATTGATTCTATTTTTTTAGGAAAAAGCATGCAGGGTCACACAAATGGAAGAAAGCATCATTAAAAATAGTAAAAAAGAAAACAAAAAAGCAATGAATAATCATTGTTGGGAGCTGGTGGCTAACATCTGTAATCCTAGCTACTGAGGAGGTTGATATCTGAGGCTCTCAGTTCAAAGCCAACTCAGACAGGAGAGTCCATAAGACTTTTTTTTTTTTGGGTCCGGTCATGGGGTCTGAACTCTGGTCCTGGGCGCTGTCCCTCAGCTCTTCAGCTCAAGGCTAGCACTCTACCACTTGAGCCACAGCACCACTTCCGGCTTTTTTCTTTTTGCTTATGT